TTTTACTTGTACTTGGCATGTATAAACTGATTTGACTTAAATTGATGGATTTGAAAGCATGTCTAATTTCCTTATTGAGACTACTGAAATTGAACTATAATAGTGTAGCTCGTCACTATATTTCAGTTCTTTACTTAGTATTGTTACTTACTGAGTTGATTGTACTCACGCTACACCCTGCACTTCGTGTGCAGATCCAGGAGTTTCTGGACGCAGAGGGTGTTGATATTTCGCATAGCTGACCATTGGAGATTTTGAGGTAGCTGCCAGGTATTCGCAGTCCTTGTTTCACCTTCCTTGTCTTTTCTTTCATTGTATTTAGTTCCAGAATTTTATAGACATTTCACTTCTGGACTGGTGATGCATAGATGCTCATGGGCTCAGTGACACCCTGATTTGGGAGCTATTTTCCGCACCTGTGTTTTGGGTTTTATCCCCATTTATGAAAACTTTACTTATTTAAAACTACTTGGTTCATTTTTTGTTAGTTGTGGGAATATTTTGGAGATGTCGCTTCCCTAGTACTACGATAGGCGCCATTATGACAGGTTAGGATTTGGGTTGTGACAGCCTGGGAAAAAGGCTTAGTCATAACAATGACAAAATAAAACGACCCAAAGGGAAATTCAACCAAAAGAAGAGGGACCTCACCTTGGTAACTAGCCTCCCACTTGCCTTTGGAAAGCTTGCACCACTCACGCTCGGAATAGATGAGTTCTTTGCATATGCCTTCGACCCATTCCCTAAAACGAGGGATCGCATTAGGGACTCGGACGACAGATGCATGTCAAAAGAGGCGAACAATGAGAAAGAGGAGTAGATTTAAACAAGTACTTTGACAACCTAAGGGAAAGCAAACTTACGTTTTGAGTTCCACTTCTCGGGGAACGACAGGAAATCGAAGGGAATGAGGTCTTCGGTCTTTATCCGAACAAACCTCCCTTGTCAGCCTCGGTCCCTTTCCTCGTCTATGCAGGAGAAGGGAGCTTTCTTTGCCCGACAAGCAAGCTTGATTAACCCCCTCGGAAGATTCGGGATCTGTAAACTCGGAGCGGATGATCAATCGTGAAACGAAGCTCCTCCGTGTTGTTAGAGAAGTGATGGAGAAGGGTCAAGATCCTCCAAAAGGACGGGTGAATCTACCTCAGGTAGATTTTGTACCTCTTACAGAACTCGAAGATCACCGTATCCACCGGACCGAACGCGAAAGGATATGTATAAATGCTTAAGTATCTTTCCACATGCATCGTGATATCCTCATCGGGATTGGGAACGACTATGTCTTTGCCTTCCCATTTCTAGTCCTTTCGGACCACTTGAAGTGTTTCATCAGTGTTGGAGCAAACATACCTCCACGCCTCTTCTCCTCGGTCTCCTTGTGCGGAGGCTTTTTCGATCTAGAATTCATTATCTATGGAGAAGCCTCCGGAGATAAATTCTATAAAGGGAGGTCCTGAGTCTACTACCGAAAGTGTTGCCTTGGTGCTTGCGGCTGATGTAGAAGTTGAAGGTGTTGTATTTTGGGGTACCGCATTCAAAGTCTTAGACATCTCAATATGGAAATATGAAGGTCTGAAGGTTGGTATGAAGGTTTGAAGATTTGGTATGAAGATTTGAAGGCAAAGTGTGAATATTTGAAGAGAAGAAATGAAGATATGAAGAACAACTTATAAAGATTTGAAGGATTGATGAGCAGATAGAAAATTCGAGGGTAATTCAAAAAGGTTCGAAATCAGAAAGTAAAAAAGTAAAAAAAAGGAAATCGGAGCTTTATAGGGAAGGAACAATGAATGCGTGACGTTTCACATTTGATAACTGCCGAGGTGACCAACCGACGGCTGACGCATGTCAAAAATTAGAGCGACATGATTGATGGGACGTTTCAGCTCGTCAACTTGCTTATGGTGTACGAAGGAAGGAACGGGGTCAATTAGTCACTTCTCATCGTTCCTATAAATCTACTCTCCGAGAAGTGAGGGGACTATCTGTGTACGAGTAAAATAGGGGATAAAGTTACCCCCGATTTCCCAATGAAGAAACGAGGGACAACGTGAATCGACGTTGGCTCGGGTAAGGCTGAGGGCGCCTACAGATCGGAGCCCGGGGGCCGAATGATATGTCGGGAATCAGGCATGGCCAAAAATGGGAAGAATCAAGCTCGAGCGATACAAAGAATCGAGGTTAAAGAGAAGACAGTTAAAGAGGAAGAACGAGGAGCCGAAATATCCCCCATCAACCAGATATTACGACACGGATCACGCATGAGATTAACTGTGGATCGTGTTTTACTGGGGAAAAAAGGAAGAAAATAATTTTTACCTTATTTAGACGTATACTAAGGTTAAAAATCTCCTGCTATATAAAGGGGAGAACCTTTTCATTTTTGTGTCACTGTTGGCACGCATATCAAAGCAATAAAGTTTACTTTTGTCTTTTAGCGATTGTTCAAGTATTCTTCAGCTATCTTCTCCTTCAACTAAAATCGAGTGCTCTCTCGAGGGCTTGATTGGAACCAGTTTCTAACATTCGAACCTAATGCCAGGCCTAGTTATTTCATCATATTTGGTTTGATTGTTTTTACTTTCTTTTAATTTGATTATTTGTTGTTTCTTTGATCATTCGTGTTAAATTAAATCACGTATCCTTTAAACCGAGTACAAACTTAATTGTTACTCCCTCCGATCCACAATAAGTGACCAATTTGCTTTTAGCAGGCCCATTAAGAAGATACCAAATTATATACAAAAATACCTAGTATGACCTTAATTAAATATTTAATGTGAGGAGTAAGAAAATTTTTTAGGGATATGTACATAAGGGTAATTTTGTAAAAACAAATTGAATTATTTCTTGATTATATAAATGGACACTTATTTTGGACCAAAATAAAAAAGCAAATTGGTCACATATTGTGAACTAGAAAGTACTCATTTTAAGGGTAACAACTACAATTCTGAAATTTTCTCCTGCCAATGAACTAACCAGATAAAGAACATGAAAAGAAGAAGATGGGCTTTATCCAACTTACTCCCTCCGGTCCAAAATAAGTGATTTTTTGGCCTTTTTCTTGTGGTCCAAAATAAGTGATTTTTCCAGATTTCAAGAATGAATTAATTATTTTCTTCCTACATTGTCCTTGAAGTAAATGGTGTTGGAATATGTGTTAGGAGTGTTTATGTGAGATAGTAAAGGTTAATATGGTTAATTCCATTACTAATTAATGCTAAAAGATGAATTTCTTTATTTGTGTGAAAACATCCAAAAAAATCACTTATTTTGGACCGGAGGGAGTATTATCAAAATCACCTTAGTGGATACATTCTTCCTCATGCATCATTTTTGTCAGGTCAAAATATCAGTGTAACATTTCTATCAAAGGTTCGAAATCAGATGGGCCTGACCAGCTGATCTTGCAGTAGCACAAGATTGGTGCATACTGCATACTGATATTTTTTTGTCCGTGCCTCTTGGCAGTAGCAGGGCAATGATTTTTATTAAAGACATTCAATAAAGAAAAGTAAACACACGAAAAGTTTTTATGTTGTGTCAGGGGATTCAATATCTATTACTCCCTTTATTTCGATTGATGTGAACCTATTTTTTTTTTAGTCCGTGCCAAAAAGAATAAGTTCTTCCCTTATTTGGCAACATTTTACCTTTATGCAATAATTTATAGTCACACAAAATACATGTGTCTCATTTTACACCACAAGTTCAAAAGTCTTCTCTCTTTTCTTAAACTCTGTACCCAGTCAAATGAGTTCACATAAATTGAAACAGAGGAAGTATATGTATATATAAATAATTTTAATCTTATGTATAGAGCATAATTTTTCGACAAAGAAGATTCGGATGGACCCTTTGCGCCCCGTTATGTAGTCACCATGTATTGGGAGGACCCAAATCTTTTTCAAGGGTACCTTAATAAGGTACCATCAATGTCCACAAAAGTTGTCTTATCTGTCCTGACAAACATTGCGTTGACCTTGTTATAACATAATCCAAACACTTACAAGGGACAAGTAAGGCTTGCTAAAAAGTTATAGATTTGAGGTGAGTTCTTGAATCCATTGTTTTCAACTTGTAAAAGTCAACCATAACTCCAAATCCTGAAGTCAAATCTGTCTAACAAATTTTTAGGTTGGTAGACTTGAACTTATAGAATAGGCTTGGTCTATTGAAAACATTTACACAATTTAAGAAGCTGGCCTAGAATTCTTGGATTACATTCATTAGATTCAAGATCTTCGAGAAACGAAAATGGAAAGTACTTTTATCCTTCTCGATGCAAAGGCCAGTAAAAGTCATAAATTGTGGATATCATAATCAGTACAGCTCAAATTCCGAAACTTCTTCTACAATGTCAAAAGGGTACCTTCTTTATTTATTGTTCAGTCATTAGTTCAATGCTACTTCCTTGTCCCATTTTAATTGTAACTTTAGTTCAAAAAATTTGTCTCAAAATAATCGTTACTCTAAGATTTTAACACTAGATTTTTAAAATATTTTTAATTATACTTTTAATATTGAAAAAGTAGTGGTTCTTTTAATACTATCAAATTCTCAAAAAGCATTTAATAGAAATAACTTAGTAAACTATACCTTATATTTATTATTTTTCTTAATGAACGTGTAAAGAGCTAAATTGGCAGTTAAAAATGTCACAGAGGATTACTTACATTTCTATTTTCGAAGCAGCTCGCTAAAGGCCCCTGGTATAAACCATGTAAATAGGGAGTTCGCAAGGAGCTAAAACTTGGAGGCAGATTTATGCTCGGACTTTTGTGGATTCAATTGAACTTATTTTTTTTCTATTTAGATTATGCGTACAAATGAAAATAACATTATAATATATTCTACGTATAATAAGACCGTAACATTTTGAACATACTGACTCTAAATCCTAAATTCGCTTAAGAGACACACAAAGATAAGAAAAAGATCACTTTGTAATCAATCTTCGTGGGTAGTAGCCTCTTTTGTAAACTTGGATAACATGAGAAGATCAAAGTTTTTTTTTCTTCTCCCCCCCTCCCCCCCCCCCCCCCTCGTAGTCTATGTACACATGATTAAAGTAAGAAAAGGCTACTTATTATTAGTTCTTCATCATCCTAAGAGCCAAAGCTTGAAGTTCACCCAACTCAGTTTGAGAAGGTCTCTTCCTGCTGCTATTAGTATAGGCTGCTTGATAAAAGACTTGGTCTGATCTGCTCTGTATCTCCTGCACATTCACTCCATCACTGTAATGATCAATGGATTCCAATGAACTCTGTGGTGATGAGTTGGAGTTCATTGTATATGTTGGATTATTATTATTATTAGCTGGGAAAGATGATGCCATTAGCCCTACTGATGCTGCCATATTGTTGGGCCATTGAGGATATGTATTTTCTGAATTTCTTGAATTATTTATCAAACTTTGTGCCGCCTGAGCTTTCACTTGCATTAGTTGAGCTTGCAGGTATGCTACCTAACGAATAGTATAACCAAATTCAAATCAATTACCAAGAAGAAAAAGCTTGACAATAATTTAATTACTACATAAAACCACAATCTATTTTAGTACTTTGGTTGGAACTTTGAAAGCGTTAAGGCATTGTTTCATACTAGGAGAAGAGACATCTGTGTTTTGACCTTGTCCAAGTAGTATTATGGAAAATATTTTCCGGAAAACATTGTACACACAAGAAATTTTGTGGAAAAAACATAAGTGAAAGAAGTCTTTTTTTCATTTTTAATGAATAATGTTTTTGAAGAAAAATATCTTTTGATGGTTGGTGGCTAGAAAATGACTTATTTTCTTCCTTCATACCAAAGCACACCCTCAATCTAAAACAAAACCAATAATTATTAATGCATCGTAGGCTTTTTAATTTATAAGTAGGTTTTCTCCAAGAATTGCAATTCACAGAGTATATCATACTTCCCATTGGCAAAAAGTTTCTATTTCATACTTCAAAGGGTTTAATAAGGACACATAACAGGAAATATAGAAGAAGAATGGAAAACCTAAGGATAAGGATTTAACTTATATACGCAAAGAAATTTTATACTGTTAGTATATATATTTAAAAATGTTATAGCAGTTACCTGCTGTTGTAAAGCGAATATATGAGCAACACAGCCATAGACAGGATCTTTGATCCTAGCTTGAGCTTCATAAGCAATGGTAACAACAGCTTCACAGCGATCAGCAACTGGAACATGCAGCAATAGTTTAGAAACATTACTTGCTCCAAACACTTTATGAATTGCTGCAAATCTAGCTGGCCCTTGTTCTGAACAAAAATAAGGAGCAAATATACAGTCTGAAGCACATTTGCGGCGCAGAAATTTGCATGCACCACAAGGTGATCCTGTCCCTGAAGCCATATTAGCACACACACACACACAGCTGGTGCTCAAAAAGAAAAGAAAGAGAAGAAAAAAGAGACACACGAACACACTAGGAAATGGTGCAGATATGAAACTGAGAGGAAGATAATTAGGTGGGGCTAATAGTGGACTTATGGGGAGTTTTTATAAGGAATGTGAATAGATGGGGACATAGAAGGTCTGTGTGCAGGGTTCTAAGGGGACATTTATTAATGGCTTCTGCAATTTACACACTCAAGCTATAATATATAGTATAAGAAAGATATATATTGACAATGTAAATGATCATATTTATGTTATCAATATAATATAGTCTACTGTAGTAGATTTTTATTTTTGTTTTCAGATAACTAGTTGCACTAGTTGTAAGGAGTTATTTTAGTTATCTTTTAGGTAGGAGCGGAGCTACAAGGTGCAATTTCATTTGAATTTTTCTCATTAATTACATTATGTATATAAGGTTAAATTATATTACACACACCCACCCACACACACATATCTATATCTATATATATATATATATATATATATATATAAAAGTCAAGAGCTCTTGGTACTTTTATTTCTTTATATTTTGAGTTTCCTTAATAAATGTCCTGAATCTGCCGCTAAAAGGTATAAATATTACATTCTCTTTTATATTTTATAGCTTGAGTGTGTATATTATATTTGATTTGTTAAGTTTCTTAGACCAGATTAGTTTAATTTGCATTAATATATTAGTTCCAATTGAGGAAGAAAAGACCAAAATCTTTTTTTTTTGGGAGGTAGTTAGCTTTGCTAGTCGTAATAGTAGTGGTGACAAGGGAGAGGGGCCACTATTATTTGTCCTGTTGTTATATTGTACGTTACGTTTAATTTTTTAAAAGCAGAAAATAGCTTTCCATGTCCTATTTATTAAATAGTTTCCCGCCGAACGCCGCACCTGGGAACTGCTGCTTCTTATTTGTTGCTTTCTGAAGAGAAAAAAATAATTTTCTTTTGATCCTAGCTAATGACACGTGGTGATGATGCTTTTATACTTTTGACTTCCAAATTGGGCCTTATTTTCTTTGTTTCAAATATATTTTCCTGGTGAATTATTCCTGTAAACAATAGTAGTGGAGAGAGTTTTGATGCTGTTAAATATTCCATGTTTAAGTCTTGCAGTTCATATTACAGTGTAATACATTGGTTTGAGGGAGAAATAATGAAGTCTCCTTGTATAATTTTGGATTATTTTATCTCTTGAGTAGATTTTCGGTGTTGAGTTAGACCTCGAGTCTTGATCCATTTTTGTTCCGCTCCTAATGATTGGCCCCCATTATGTTATCTATGCTATAAAAGTCCAGTTCTGAGCCCACAAATTGTGGCAATGTGTCTCGTATATATTAAAAGAATGAAGTCTAGTTTTCTCATATAATTTTGGAAAAAACTTATATCTTATAAGATAAATGTCCAGTTTTGAGCGCACAAATTAAGCATTCACAAGGAAGTTGGAGGGTGGCGCTTTCAATAATTTTATGGTCTCCTTAGTTGAATATCAATATTTTAATATTTTCAATAACACAAAGTTAAAGAGGAGAATTTTCCTTTTGGAAAAGCCTTCAGTCATCTCCTCCCAATTCAATAATGTGAGCCCACAAATGAAAATAATTGGCAGTAGCGAGTATGATATATAGAAAAAGCAAGAATTGTAACTAAAGAGGAGGTCAGTAATGACTCTTTTGACTTTGAAATATGGGTCAGAGCTACTAGTTTCCTTGGTTATATTCGTTCATTAAAGACCTTTGAAATTTGAAGTTTAGAACTTTCGAGTCCTCAAAATTTTCGCTAAATAAGTGCTGCTACACAATGCATATACATGACCTCAGATTATAGCAAGCGAGTTAATGTGTTGCATCTACTTCGAACATGGTTGAGGTTAATGAACATTACAAGCATTGTAGTGCAATGGATATTCCTCCGCCCTTAATCAGAAGTTTTGCATCGAGCTCTGAATATGAAAAATTCTGAACGGAGGCGCTTTCCCTTTTTAATAGACCTTATACAACACAAATCTTAAATTAATCAGGCCCTAAGACACGGATGGAGTTCCCTCTCCTCCCCCCCCCCCCCCCCAACCAAAAAAAAAAATAGAGCTAATGAACCAACTAACAACCAATGTATTCTCCAAGTCTCAACTCGATCCCTGCTTGTACTTACAGAGATAGTATTCATATCCTATACTATTCATATACAAGAACTATTTGTTCATGAATATTGCTCACAACCGGGCAACAGGTGGAATTACCATGTGAAGAAGAGTTGTGTATGCGTCAATATCCATCTAGTCGAAATAATATTAGTAAAACATTCCTGGGACACCACGTGTCGAAGTAAATATTGTTGTGTGCTGCCGCTGCCATTAAAATATTCCTACATAGTATTTATTGTACTTCTGAGAACTTCATCTTTGGAATATTATTGTTAACTAAGATTAACTCTCATTCATATAAATTTAATTAGTTGAACCAAGATCCATATTTTTCAGTCAAACAACCTGGCGTCGTCTGTGGAAATTTCTTAGTTAAATTTTTAGTTTCCTCTGGATCTACAATTAACGCAAGTCACTAACATCAAAAACCCCGAGATCTCCTTTCTTTGTAATCCTACATGGCAGGTAACCAAGGAGAAAGGACAAAAATAACAAGTGACTTCCCGAGCAACCTCATGAATGGCATCAACGAAAGCTGCGAAACAGTAGGCGATGACGTAACGCCCAACGCGTCCCCTAGGTGCGAGATGTCGCCTCCCCCACACTGCAGCATAATAAAACCCAGTGGAAAAGGGGCCTCCACGTTTGCGGAAGAAGGGACGCCCCCAACTGTAAAAAAAACTCCTCATGGCTGACTGACACGCTAGTGAGCATCCTCAACAAACCTATTTCAGGCATGACTGCAGAAACCGCAAGAGCTTGCATGATACAACAAACAGACGAGCAGTACAACCGACCCAGCCCTCCAACGACAAGTATAAGTCACGATATTACTAACAGTGCAAGTGACAGCGTCCTTGCTGCCATTCTAAAGAGGATGGAAGAAATGAAGAACGAAAATAAAGCACTCCGAGACCAAATGAAAGAACATCAAGAACGAGTTGACAAGATATTGGGCGCACCTAAGCTGGTGCCAAAAAGGGATGCCAGCAGGTTCGTAGAGCAGCCGTATAGCGATGATGCAGCCTCGCTTACCATACCAAAGACCTTCAAAATGCCTCCCTACCTTAGGATATACGATAGAATGACCGATCCTGAGGATCATGTGACTCAATACGTCATCGTCGTGAAAGGCAACGATCTCGCCAATGAACAGATGTCCTCTATTTTGCTGAAGAAGTTTGGCGAAACCCTTACGGGAGGGACATTAACATGGTATTCGCAGCTACATGCCCGCTCCAAAGAAACTTTCGAGGAAATAGCCAATAAGTTTGTAACCGCACATGCCGGAGCCAAGAAGGCCGAAGCAAGAGTAAACAACATATTCGTTATTAAGTAGTCCTTGGGAGAAGGACTAAGGGACTTCCTCGCTCGGTTTAACAGAGTAAGGATGACTCTGTCGAACGTATCCGAAGGTATGGCAGTCGCTGCTTTCCAGAATGGACTGAGTAGGGATGGTTCAAGAGCAACTAGAAAACTGTTGAGCTGATTGATGAAATATCCCCCAACCACTTGGGATGAAATCCATAATGCTTATTGCGCCGAGGTCTGAGCAGATGAAGACGACCTCAACGAACCAACACCTACCGGTCCTTGGTCACGATTTAACGAAAGGTTATGTTCGACTAAGTTCAAACCAACACCTACCAGCCCTTGGGTGCGACTTCAAGAAAGGTTATGTTTGACCTCGCTCGAACAACACCTACCGGCCCTCAATCGCAACTTAACGAAAGGTTATGTTCGACTAAGCTCGAACAAACACCTACCGGCCCTCGGCCGCGATTTACCGAAAGGTTATGTTCGGCTAAGCTAGAACCAACACCTACCGGCTCTCGGCCACGACTTAACGAAAGGTTGTGTTCGACTAAGCTCAAACAAACACCTACCAGCCCTCGGCCGCGATTTAACAAAAGGTTTTGCTTGATTAAGCTCGAACAAACACCTACCGACCCTCGGTCGCGATTTAGCGAAAGGTTATGTTCGACTAAGATCGAACAAACACCTACCGGCTCTCGGACGCGATTTAACAAAAGATTATGTTCGACTAAGCTCGAACAAACACCTACCGGCCCTTGGCCGCGATTTAACCAAAGATTATGTTCGACTAGGATCGAACAAACATCTACTGGCCCTCGGCCGTGATCTAACGAAAGGCTATGTTCGACCTCGTTCGAACAAAAACCTATTGGCCCTCGGCCACATCTCAACACAGAAACACACGCGACCTATGAATATTCGGCTCCAAGGCCACGGCCAGCTAAAAGATAACAACTATAAGAAGGTAAAAAGCGAAACAAGCAAACAACGAACGCAAAAAATATATACAAGTACAGAAAATAAACTGCAGGAATGGAAGAAGATGCAAGGAACAACTTTGATATTTCACACTTAAACTGTTTACAAAGGCTCGTGAAGACACCGGCAAAAATACACAAAAAGTCAAAAAGAAAACTACAGGTCGTCGCTGTAACGGCATTCAGTGCCCTCGCCAGCTCGGTCTTCAACGGGATCACAACCCTGACCACCATTACCCTCACCATCACGGCCCCCAGCGCCCTCGCCATCCTCGATCAGAGGGTATATGGAATCATACCAGGCCTCGACCTCGACGCGATCTATAGCATCCTCATCGCCCTCATCTTCCTCACCAGGACGAGGAGTAGCCGAATCATAACCACACGGAATTCTAGCCTCGCGAGCTTTGGCACGAGCATCTTCGAAGTCTGCAGCAGAAACAAAGCCCGCTACATGCAACTCGTGAAGCACATCCAGCCGATCTTCGGCATGAATCCACTCTTCGTACAAATCACAAGGAAATGCGAACAAATTCTCGCATTTTCAAGACCTGCAACAGCTGCCAAGAAACACTAGAAAAACTAAAGTGTTTTTCATCCTTCCGAATGTCTGAAACTCACCCGAGCCCTTGGGGCTCCACACCAAACACCCACACAAGTCTAACAACATCATACAAACTTGCTCGCGTGATTGGAACACTGAAATAACGTCAAAAACCATGAATCGAACGCCCGAACGCATGGATTAATTCA